GGAATGTTATAATTAGATTGGTTCTATATTTAAATCATCACAATACAATGCAGAATTTTTACAGCTTGCAAAAGCAACTGAGCTATGCCAGATTAACTTTTAATGCTCAGAGTGATGACAATGTGGGCTAAGGGTCTTTCAATATATATAACGGTGTCTGTTTCAGCATAAATATAGCTTTTTACATCAACCTTTTTACTTGTGATCTACTATAAACATTTAGACAAACTTCTTCTCATATAGTCAGGAAAAAAATTCTGCTTCACCTGCCATGTGGCTTCCCAGAAAGCCATCGACCGTTGTAAACAGCGTCCTTAAGCCGAGGGTCTTTGTAGAAGGTATATTTTGCGTTCCTTGAAATAGGGGGCTCCTGCCTCTGAAGGCTTCCGCTAACACCACAGGGAGGCAAATCAGATGTCCCTTTTAAGGCCTGATCTATAGCTTGGCTTAGAGATTTCAGCCACTTAGTCTGAAACAGAGTGAAAAATAGTCAAAGGCTTTCTGATGCCTATGTTCTTCTTCTTTCTCTCGTTCTATATCTCTTGCAGGAATTCCTTGGAACGGGTATGACACAGATACTGATGTCATGGAATTCATACATACCAACAATGGTGGATTGTAGAATATAAACATTCCAGTACTTTTACTCCTTTTTAAAAATCAGAATTGAATTTTAACCTTATCAGTTACATAGGTCCAATATACAATGGTATCCCAGACATTTCTTCCTACATAAATTATTTAAAGTATAACCATTAACAATCTGTAATGTAATTTGTGACGTTCCTGGCCTATATGGTAAAGAGCTCAGTCCAGCTATGAGTTGTGGGTTACCATTTTAAAATAAATGCTGAAAGATAGGTAATGTGGTTATTTAATGTTTAGCAGTTCTGAAAGTACATAGGTTCACACTACTAAAATTGTTACATTCTGTCCCCTTGTTTTAAAAATTAAAGGATAAAATAGACCTGCTTAATATGCAATAGGCTTAACACAGTTGTTTAGCTTTTAACCACCACTAAAAAAAAGTTATGAAGACCCTCTGAAGGGGTAATCCCACCTCAAAAAAAAAAGGGGGTTGAAAAAGGTGAGATCCCTGTTTGCTAAGCAGTTACCTCTCCTGATCTTATCAGCTATTTTCCAAAAATGGGATGTTGGATATTTAGATTGCACACTGATTCTAGAGGAAATCTACACAATATAATGATTTTTATTAGGTTGATCTGAAATAAGCACAGATCATAAAAACACGCTTCATACCAATTTCAAAGAATGGAACGGAAAAAAATATTGAATCGGCTCTAGAAAGCAAGCCATGCTAGAAAATGGAAAAGTCATTAATGCATCTAATGAACTGAATGGAGGGAAGGGGCAAAAAGGGTCCTACCTTTTCTTGTGGGCTTGATGAAATGAGAATAAACTGTTCTTCAGGTGTAGTGATTCTCAAACCATTCCTAGTGCAAAGAAAATAAACAAAGAGTTTTGCAAATGTTAATCCAGAGAAATGACTACATTACCTTGTTTTCATATAAAAAACCCAAGACTCATTTGTTCTCCCTTTCCTCTTCAATTCACTGTAATTAATGCATATTAAAATATCCAAGGAACAAACTTTGTCATCTTCCCTCCAGTATTGACTAAATATAGCAATTCAGACTTCTGTTTTACTATGGAATTTTTATTCCAGGGGGACACAAGACGGAGACTAATTCTGCAACAGTTCCATTCCATTTCAGAATTCCTAGAGGAAAACAGGCAAAGCTGCTGCAGCTGGATGCTGTCCTCTCCATGCCACACCTGCTCCACCGGACTATTAACACGACGTGTTCTGTGTGAAGCATCATTAAAACAAACGTACTATTGATTCTGTCTACATGATTGCTTATTTTGATTGACAGGATTTGCATTCTGAAAAACAAGATGCAGTAAATAAATATTTTTTCTTGTTAAACAATTGCATGAGCAATTGTTAGTGAAGAATGTATGCAGTCTGCAAATACAGGCAGTCCTCGGCTTACGACCATAATAAAGCCCAAAATTTCTGTTGCTAAGCAGGACACTTGTTAAGTGAGTTTTGCTCCATTTTACGACCTTCCTTGCCACAGTTGTTAAGTGAATCGCCGTCATTGTTAAGTTACTAAAGCAGGTGTTAAGTGAATCTGTTTCCCATTAACTTTGCTTGTAAGAAGGTCGCAAAAAGAGATTACATGACTCCAGGACACTGCAACCATCATAAATATGAGTTAGTTGCCAAGCATCTGAATTTTGATCATGTGATCATGGGGATCCTGCAATGGTTGTAAGTATGAAAAACAGTCATAAGTCATTTCTTTCAGTGCCTTTGTAACTTTGAACAGTCACTAAACAAACTTTTAAGTCATGGACTACCTGTAGACTATATAAAACTAAATACCTTTACATCTGAAGTGTACATTAAACTGTTTCATAGATGCAGCATGTTTACACTTAAAAGCCCATATTAACAATTGTTGTGTCGGTTGATACAAGCCTAAAAAGGGCCAGATTCATAACTATAAGAATTTAAATTCTATTATGAGTATGAAGGCAGGTTCAAGAGCAAACAGAGATGGGCTGCAAAATAAGTTTTAAAAGAACCAATAATTTGTTAACTAGTCCAAACTTAATAGAAGGCAGCTGAAAAATACTTACATATTTCCAGACTCTTCTGAAACAGGTTCTACCCACAGGGTAGACAAGGAAAAAATATGGTGAGTTGAGAACTATAACCAAAGAAAAAAAAAGAAAAAGAAAAGGTCAGTCTTCGTATTATGATTATGCCCATATTATGTAATATAAGGTTCAGTCCATGGTCTTTGCTTGGGCTTGGGCTTTCAAAAACCTTCTGGGTACAATTCAAGGTGCTGGTTGTTACCTATAAAAACCTTTTGTGGTATGGGATCAGGATATCTTAAAGCCAGTTTCGCTCTACCAGCCCTCCTACTTGTGTAGGAGAAGAACATGCTCTGGGTTCCTTTGAATAAAAAATGCCATCTTATGGGACCCAAAAAGTTGTGGCACCTGGCTGCTGGAACACCTCCCCCCCCTTAAGATTAGGCTGTCCCCACACTTGGCCTTCTGGAAAGCAGCCACGGCCTGGTACACTGTTGAGGCATTGAATGGCTGGTAACTGTTTTGAGGTTTTTATTCTCAGCTGTCTTTTCTTGCTTTAAGATTATTTGGGGGGTTGTTTCTGAAATATTTTTAATTGTTGGTTTAATTTTAAATTCTGTTTGTTGCCCAGAATCCCTCAGGTGAGAGGGACAGCCGTATTAAACAAACTTTAGTTTGACTGTGACATTCAAGTTGCACTGCAACCTGTGCATTACTGTTATCTGTACAAAGAAAAACTCTGATCCATAATTCAATGATGTCCTCTGTTTTTAACATGCCTGATTAACAGCAATTGACAAAGATGGGGAAAAAAGCAGAAGCAGCATTTGGTCTCTCTTTTGTGATAAATTACTCACAAGTTAGAAGATCTGAATAACTGGACTGGATATTAAAAAGCATTCAGAGGGAAGAGAGGGAGGGAAGGAAAACAAAATCTATTTTTGAACTGTGTTTGGAAACCTACAAACTAATGAACTAGCCTATATTCATTTTATATTATTCCAGAAAATAGAAAAACCTTACCTCATGCCAGGCAGAACATTTTTAGTAACAACATAAGTAAATTACTTTCCTATATGTTCTTCTACAGATACTGAACATTTCTCTATTGGGGATACAGATAGATTTACAGATACATTTAGTTGGCCAGGAGGCGCATGTTGTGGGGCCCATCTGCTTAGGGGTTTCATCTTGCAGATAAAGAGCCTTTTCTATGCCTTTTCATTCTTTGGCCCACCCTTTGGAACAAGGTGAGACTGGCCCTGACCTTACTGACCTTCTGGAAGGCCCTCAAAAACTGGTTGTGTGATTAGGCCTGGGGATGTGAAAGTTCTGAAATGCGGTCTTCTGTGTTTTTGTTTTATTATAGTCTTAACTGTTTTAATTGTATTTTAATAGTCTTGTTACTTTAAATTTTGATTGCTGAGTTTTTGTTATAACTATGTGCACTGCCCAGAGTCAGATAAGCAAGATGTGTAGCTATATAGTATATATGGAATACGTATACTGTATAAATAAGCATGCTTTCAATTTGAAAGCTTCCCTTGTGCTAGGAAGAGAGGACTACCTCATCCTTCGAGTACAGACCTGAGCATGGACTAAGGCATCATTGAAGAGGATAAACCAATTCACTGAAAATCTCCCAGCATGTTGCAGGGACAATCCTCGATTGCTGCTTTCACAGATTAGTCGCCGCTCAGGTTTCCTCAAGGAATCCTATAATTGAAAAGAAATACAAGACAATATAATAATAATAATGATGATGATGATGATGATGATGATGATGATGATAAAGTTGGAAGGGAGCTTAGAGGTCATCTAGTCCAACCCCCTGCTCAGGCAAGAAACCCTATACCATTTCAGACAAATGGCTGTCCAGTCTCTTCTTAAAAACTTCCAGTGTTGGAGCATTCACCGCTTCTGGAGGCAGGTTGTTCCACTGATTAATTATTCTAACTGTCAGGAAATTCCTCCTTAGTTCTAGGTTGCTTCTCTCTTTGATTAGTTTTCATCCATTGCTTCTTGTCCTGCCTTCAGGTGTTTTGGAGAACAGCTTGACTCCCTCTTCTTTGTGGCAGCCCCTGAGATATTGGAACACTGCTATCATGTCCCCCCTCGTCCTTCTCTTCATTAGACTAGACATTCCCAATTCCAGCAACCGTTCCTTATATGCTTTAGCCTCCAGTCCCTTAATCATCTTTGTAGCTCTTCTCTGTACTCTTTCTAGAGTCTCAACATCTTTTTTACATCGTGGTGACCAAAACTGGATGCAGTATTCCAAGTGTGGCCTTACCAAGGCATTGTAAAGTGGTATTAATACTTCACGTGATCTTGATTCTATCCCTCTGTTAATGCAGCCTAGCAGTGTGTTGGCTATTTTTTAACAATAGGTAAGGCAATTCATGCTAGGAATTTGCAATGCAGGGCTGGTGGAGTTTGAATTTATTTGCATTTAAACATTATAAGTATAATATTATAATATAATGATGAATCATAATTAACAAGATGCCATTTTTTAAAAACTAGAAGAATTATCTTCATGAGAGTAGAAACAGAAAGTATTACAATTTGTGCTAGTAAATAATATCAGCTCCTAATAGATAAACGTACTGTCATTTTCCCAGGAAACGTTTTCCAGAAACCCAGGGTATATTCAGCTTCTTTTCGTTTCCTACTGAGATGGACAGCCAGAGATTCATAAGAAGAGCTGGAATCATGAAGGCTTTGATATTCTGGAGATGTCTACAGAGAAAGAGAAGAAATGGAGACTGACTAATATTCCGCAAAGCTATCCCAATATTTTGATATAAATGACTTCATATTGTAGTATTAAAAAAATCTGTATTTAATACATCAGTGAAGTTAGAACAGCTGGATAAATAAATTTACCTTCCATAGTACTGGAGCTATAGTGACGTATTAGATAAATTAATGAAAGGCTTTCAATCTACTAAAGCCAGGATGTTAGCAGTATTTACAGTATACTTAAAAAGTTTATACAGTACACAATTTTTGCCCCAGCAGGTGGCAGCATCTAGCAGTCTTGTCTGGGATCAGAAAAAAACAGAGCAGCCAGTTAGTACTTGGAAGGGAGATTTCCAAGAATTTTAGAGATAAACAAGTCTGCAATTGGGGGGGGGGGGGGAGTAGGCAGTGACAAGCCATTTTTTTTTTAGTGCTGCCAAGGAAACCCACATAATATGTCTGTGAAATCACCAAGGGTTGATGTCAGCTTTACAGAAATTTTATAATTACCATTTGTAATATTCTGGAAACATCCTTGGGGCTCATAAAGTCTGCTGGTTTCAGCATGATTTGCAGCAAAGTAAATTTTTTAGCTGCCACCTAAGAAGATCAGCTCTATTTTCTAAAGAGGCTTAAGGGTAACCTAAACATTGCAGCCCTTGTTTCAAGTTCCATGTAGCAAATTTACGTGCAACCTGTACAGTGGTGGGATTCAAATATGTAAACAACCGGTTGTCTGTGTGGATGCTGCTTCCAGAAGTCCATTCTGTGCCTGGGCAACAAAAAATTAGCTACCGGTTCTGCCGAAGTGGTGCGAACCGGCTGAATCCCACCACTGAACCTGTAGCATTAGTGTAAAATCTCAGTTTAACAGGCTGTTGTGAAGCAAAGGGTGCCTGTGAAGGCTGAAGTTCTGCTAAATTCCAAAAGTTTACCCTCCTCCAGGAAATCCACTGCAAAGAAAAACATTTCTTTGGGGAATCAAATGCACTTAGGAAGGCAGATCTCTCAAGGATGTCATTACCACTATTAGGGATGCTGAACTATTTGGTCAACAGGAAAAGATTTGTTGGGGTTAGGAGCCAGTAGGGGAAAGGAAGTGTGCCTACAGCACCAGTGCATATTCCATTAGTCTGATCAGTCTTTGCAACATCTTCCTTTCACCTTCATCTTCCCAGGGCCTCGTTTTCTTGTCCTTTCCTTTTATGAGAAACTCAAACATGAAGCATGCACATATACCAATGGCCGTTCGACTGTCCCATTGCCATCTCTTCTGCATCCAGAATTCAAAACGTGTGAAGAAACTTAACCATTTTTTTAGATCAAGTAGCAACCAGTTTGGATCCCTTTCCCAAATAACAGGTAAATTCATTCAGAATTTATCCACATAAGAATTTGTCTACTTTATCATGTCCTCTAACCGTGGTCTGCTAAACTTAATTTTTACTGACCTAACTCTAAGTTTAATATACAGTAGTGGCCAAAATTGTGGAAACCTTTTGAGGTTTGATGGCTAATAACACCACTTTTTTTGGAGTAATACCATAAACTTATATATCAATAGAAAGATAATTTAATCAAGAATGTAATACAACATAGTTTGTTCAATTATATGTACTGTATTCTATGAAAAGTTATAGCCAAATAACCAGAGAAAGGAAGCACAACTTGCTTAGGTTGATATCAGCTAGCTTTCCTTCACCTGATTGTAGCCAATGAGCATGAGTGTTTAGAGAGCCAATCAGGTGTCACCTTGTTTTGGCAATGAACCAATCAGATCACAGTAGGATTCAGTTATTGATGTCATGTATTGAAGCTGAGAGGAGGACATTTGTCAGTGTGTTATGTGATCGCTATCAAGTTGGTTGGGTTTTTTTGTGTTCTTTCATTTAGTGAGCTTGTAAAAAGTAACAAAATTAAAGTAATGATGCAAAGAGTTGACTGGTTGCCCAGAAAGCAATGTAAAATAGTATTATTAAGTGAACGAGGCTACAGTTATAAAGAAATTAGAAGAAAAATTGGTGGAAACTTAACCAAAGGTGGCATTTCTACTGTACACTTTTCCCAAAAAGGTTCCACAATTTTGGCCACTACTGTATGTCAAGTTCAATTCCCAGAAATCCCCAGTCAGAGTGCTAGCTAAGGAATTCTGGAAGTTGAAGTCCACGCATCTTAAAGTTGTCATGGTTGAGAAACACTGCTGTTATACTTTTGCTAAGAGTCCTCATTTTGCTGATGGAAAAACTCTATGACACCAAACAGTATACATATGACAACAGCTGAACTTACAGCTGCCAATATTATTAATAGCTTCCATCCAGTTGTTGGAATGCAATCTTCCATTCTGTTAAGGGGATTATTTCAAGAAAATGGTTACTAGACAGTATTCCATGATCTTATACTGAATTCTTACACAACATAAAAAAATTCCCAGAATGTTTCCCAGAATGCCTTTTTTGAGTTTATAGGCAATTCCATAGCTAGAAATATATTAAATGAAGATTATCTGTCTTACCATGGCTAAACTAAAGAATGCAGAACCATGCAAACGAGTACCTAATCCCAAGAATATGTTTTCAGTATTCTAACATCAGAAAACTTTTCTTGCTCTGACAGAATACTATAAAAGCTAAAGCATTGCCTTAAAAATAATGTAGTTTTACTATTTGTGTATTTTAACAACTGATGCTATGCACATTCACGAACACACAGTAAAAGATAAACATTTAATTAGAAAGGATGTATTTAAATGCATGCTTTAGCTATCGTGCGGCAGATTATAGAATTAAAAACAAATAGTAAATGATAACCTATTTAGAAAAACTTTCACAATATGAAAAAAACTTTTATACTCAACAACCTACCACTTCAAAACAGGTAGCAAGCTTTAGTAAAACTCTAGCATAATTATGAAGTCGTCTGATTGGCAAGAAAAACAGAGCATTTAGCATCTCCATTAATGGATAAATCTCGTTTGTCTCTGACAGATCTTGAAATAATGCTTGGTTTTTGCCTAAGAAATCCCTAGAGGTAAAGGTAAATATGTATTATGTCTCAGCAGTACTCAGTATTTAAAGAAAAGAAATGAAATGGATTATTTAGGGAAGAGCTTTTTAAAAAAAAAAAAAAAATACCATTGCAAACGTGATTAATAGAAAAATATGATACATACAAGTTTAATGTCCATGTAGCATTTCATTAAAATAATTTTTAAAAAGATAGAAAAAGAAAAACTTGCATTTACCAACAAAGAAATGATTTCCATACAATTCAGACCAAATTTAGGAGTAGCTCAATTATACTAGAAATGAAATGCAGACCGTAACTGCTTTTTAATTTCAAATTACATTGTCAATTAATATAAAGATGCATATATTCTACTATTTTTTTTCAAGAGAGATTTTCACAGGAATCCATGTGACCAAGCCTCCCCATTCCCCATAAATGGAAGAAGCCTATTAAATTTTGAGTGACATTTTTAAAATGAATTAATTCAAAGGAATGGGATATGCGTTGATACAATATTCACCAAAAATATTGGAAAGGCATCACAAGAATGACTGGAATTCTAGTTTTAGAGTATTATAGAATCTTGAAAACCTGACAGATTTTCTCTCCCTCCCTCTCTTTTATACCATAAGTAAGGCATCATCTGAGTAATCAAAGAAATACTCTACAGCGTACAAGCTTGACCTTTATCATGATTTTAATCATTCATTAGTGCAACAATAAATCAAACAATTATGCGCATGAAAATGTGCACTTACACTGTTGGCTTGGAGAGTATTGAAAATCCTCCCATTACCAAAAAGTTTGTCAAGGAAGCACAGTACCTAAAGCAGAACATTGGAAGAAAAGTGAATATTCTTATGGATTTAAAATATCATCATGAATCTGTCAAATAAAAAATTTAAGAAGTGAAACTCTTTCTGCCTAATCCCCGACCCCACAACCTTTAGCATTTCAACACATTTATATCGCTAGACTCTGGTAGTAGAGTTCCCTTTCGCTTTGGTAACAAAGAACTCCATACCCACATTTTGATACCTCTACATGTTGTTCTCCCCCCCCCCTCCCACTACAGCAGTACAATATTACTATTCAAACTCAAACTCTCCCCTCTGGCTTGGAGTTTCCCACATCATAAGCGCTGTGCAGAAGGAAGCAAAGCAGCATTGCTTCCTGCCATACAAGATTTATATGAAAATACCCAAAGTAATGGAACAGGTAATAAGGATGTATTTTTCCTATTTTCCTAGTAGTGGTTCTGTCTGAGGCATATGTCAATAGGATAACATAGTAGCCATTTGTATATTACACTAAAATGAAAGATATATCACAGCATGAATTTATGAACTGTATTCTTAAAGGTTATTGGCTAACAAATGTAATATTCCCCTGTATTTACAGCAGGGCATACTTTACATTTGATCATCGAAAATGCCCAATATTTCAGTGCTAATATGGTCATGAAAGTAAGTCAATTGAGGACACTTTCAAGAATTCTGCTTCTTGCCTGACAATCTAAAGGAGTGGTGATGATTTTTTCAATTATTCTTCAACTTAATCTTACAATACAAATTAGCAATTCAGAAAACAGTAAGCATAATGTTTGAAAACTCTTTCTGTATGTCAGGTTTTCTTTAGAATTCGTTCTGTTTTCAGAGGCAGCTTTACCCAGTATAATAAAGACCCACAAATTAAAACTAAAATAAAAAAAATCCTTACTCAGTATAACTTTCCAAAAACAGATTTGAATGCTTCAGGATCACCAGATTCTTTGCCTCTTTTAATCCTTGAAGAAAGCTGGTCAAAGAGGCTCCATGCTGACCAATCAGGTAACACAGTTTGCTGAATGTACTTGCCATTTCCTGCAGCAATTGAATGGTGGATGCCCCACCTAAATTATCTGTAACCCAACAAGTGCACATAGTTGATATAGTTGAAATGCATAGTGGAAACATTGCCAATTCAATAGATCAGAAGGAAAAATTAGTCTAAGGTCTCAAAACTGTATATTTAAAACTATTTTCATAGATTCTCATTAACTAGCAATTAGTAAATCCATCTTTATTTAATTACAGTTACGAACTCTTAATCATCAAGGACATTTTACAATACACCACGGGAGTTTAGCTCTTCATGCATACAAATCAGGACACAAATAATTTGCTGGGTTTTGAGGCTAGTAGGCAAAATTTGGAAGGAGCATTTTGTAAGAAGGTTGGTCACGAATGCAGCTGCAAGAATCTGAGGATGGGGGTGAGGGAAAAATAAGACTGTCAGCTGGACAGCAAAGCTCAGCTGAAAGAACTGAACATTTTAAATAATTCATAGAATGACTTATTTACTGCAATGGGAAATTCAGTCTGTTTTCCTTTTCTGAGTCTATGGAGAGGAATGTACTTTGATGAAGGTAGGCAAGAGCTGTTAAGGGAAGAGAAATGAGAACGTTGACATATGAAGACTAAAAAAACCCTAACCCAATGCATCTTCCTAAGGAAAAGGAAGCATTGCTTCAGTTGTTTCATGCCAAAATGAGCACCTAACCATACTAAAAAAAAAACACTTTTTCAAGGTATCTAAAAAGGTCAGCTCAGCCATAAGAACATTTAGAAAGCCTAATTCATTATAATAAGCTGAGAAAAGATTCTGAAAGGTAAACAGGGCTCTGGGAAAGAAAACAAGAAGGAATTTCCAGGAAGGAAATTACGTTAATGGATACTGCACCTTTGGTTATTTCAAAACCCCACCTTCTTTGTAGTCCTGCCTCATTGTCATAGACATCCAAATAGTCTTACTGAACTCACTAAGCACATAATGTTCTATAGTCAATAACATTTCTGGCTGCTATATCTAATCAAATAATATTTTAATTTGCATAAACCTATAAAGGACTGTAACCTCACCCCACTTTAGACTTATCTTTGCTGGGTCATTGAGAACTGGATGGTATATAAATTGAATGCATATTATTAGTCTCTAGTACTGTGAATAAACCTAGAATAAGCTAGATTTGAGTTTTTGCAGCAAAGACCAAATACCTCACATTGAGGAACTTAACTGACAAAATTGTTACCCTTTTTGGGGGGGGGTTGTGCAAATATTTTGGATGCTACTCCAGAAGACCCTAGTAGTAAGAATGATTATCGAAGGACATATATGCAGGAGGTGCACAGAATACCCTGCAGCTTGACTATGAACCTGGGTGGTTGAGAGATGCCTCTGGAGGAGATTACCACCTCACTGCCCTTGAGAAGATGGGGTCAAGAGATGCCTCTGTGAGAGATTGCTGCCTTGTTTATTTGTGTGTATCAGTGACGGGTGTGCCACTCTGAGTCCCACAGATGCAAGATGAGCCTCTGAGGGAATGCACCCTTGACTGTCAGGGTAAGACCTGTATACTTCTCATAGTTTAACATATTAATTTGGAAAATGGAAACATTTGGGCAGGTTGTGTGATGGAAGATGAGGAAGGAGAGACTGTGAGGAATTATGGGACTTTAGCATTCAAAAATGTTGTACATGGGACTCTTATCATGAACCCTCCAAATTCTCCATCAGCTGAGAAAGAGAAAAATGTGAGAAGGAAACTCAAAATAACCCTGTCTTACGTCTGCTTGGTATAAGGGGAAATTCAGGCAAGCTTTCAAGTTTCAGTTATTATACTCTGCAACAATAATGTAGCATTCCTGTACTCCTGGCACTGTTTGTTTCCTGATTTGGCCCAACTCAGTCTTTCATCTAGTAAAATATATGACTGAGGAGGTGGTCTTAATACAGAGCAAAACAGGAGACAAAAACACAGTGGCATTCCTGTCCATGTAAAGAAACAAAAACAAAAAAATTACATCTTGTGATTTTTAGAAATCAGAAACTGAAAACAGTGCAATAAAAACACCTCTTACCAAATCCCAAGAGTGGTCGGAGAACTTGAGATTTTATAGAACTCAGTTTAGAGTAGAATTGTCTCTCTGTCGAAGCCAACTCATGAAGACTTGCGATGTACCCCATAATGTTTTTGTCCACCAAAGCCAAACAGTTTTTCCCACCTGTGGTCACATTGCTAATATACCCTAGCTGGAAGAAAATACATTATTTTGAAAAAAATGTCTCAAGACAAAAGGTCAGCCCTACTTTATGTCCCGGTAGACATTTGCCTCTTCTATTTTACCACTTGGCCTAGTGAAATAAATTCTTGGGCGTGCACACATAACTTTACTTACTATATATAGCCTTGTTTCTAAATCATGTGTACCATATGCAATATTAATACTTGAGGCATTTTCTTGACCAGATTCAACAATAATAGTAAACTTGTACCTGCATTCTTTTTCTTTTGATTGTATCCTTAAATACCCAGGCTTCGCATAGATAGTGTGGCTTGTGAAATCAGATTCCAGTGATGTTCAAAGATATCAATTAAGCTCTTTCAGAATACTTTACTCTCTCTGTTTTCTTACTGTTGCCCTTGAACCTACTTTACATATTCACTTATTTGTTACCAATAAAGGAGAATATTTGTAGCTAAGAGTTGAAATGAGGTGGTGCTCTGATGATGTTGCCTAGTTTAGGTAATGAAACATCTTCAGGAAAACAATCAAGCTCAGAGAGCACCAAGGACTCTCATTTACTTTCTGTAGGAGATGACCAGGCTGAGTAGGGTCAGGGCAGGGTCAAACGGGTAATCAATTTGGAGTTGCTCTGCTCCCACAAGAGACCTAAGTCCAGCTCTCCATGAATTCTGCTGACTCTTATCCAGAGCCAATTTGATTTGATTATTAGTAGACCAGATTCTTGTGTATAGGTAGCATGTAATAAACTTGAAGTACTTTGAACTAAACTCCTGTTCCTGGTTACTTGCGTCTCACACTTTCTCTACATTTCATTTCAAAACCATCCTTTTCCATAAAGTTTTTGGCTCCACATCCTGCTTTATATGCCATACTACAAATAAGCTTGTAATAAAGCTCTTGTCTATTTCTTACATCAAATTTAGACAGTAGGTTTTACAGTATCTACTCTATAAAGCAATGATGGGCACATGTTCCCTCACAAAATGTTATATGAAACCACTGTTTGACAAACCAGAACATTTACACCAAACTCAAATGTAAGAGGAAAAGAAAAAAGTGGAAGAGGATATTCATTAGTTTATCATTTACAGGTAGTCCTTGGATTATGATGGCAATTAAGACTTGGATGATTATTGGAACCACGTGGTGCTGTTTAAAGTGCAACATTATGTGACTGCATAGCTTAGCAACGGCAATCCTGGTTGCTAGCAAACTCTAACATGTATCGGTTATTAGACAGGAAGTGGCAAGAGCTCCAGGTAAGGAAGGAAAGGGTGCTGCAGGGGGAGTGGTGAAGCTGTGGGAGGCCTGGTACAGGCACACGATAGAGGACAGGGAGGGCTTTGGAGGCTCAACACAGCCAAAACACAGATCAAGGGAGGCTGGAAGAGGTTGGGGGACCACTGGTGAAGCCCAGTGCAGACTAAAGCTCTCTGTGATGTTGTAATTGCAAGCCAGGCGCCAAAGCACCTGGATTGCGATCTCATGACAGTGGGGGGGGGGGGCTATAATGACCAGAACTTCAGGGTGGTGGGGACTGGTTATACCCCCATTTTCAGCACTGCCATAATTCTGAATAGTCACTAAATGAATGGCCATAATTGGAGGACTATCTATAGTTTCAAGGCAAATAACAGTACTATATAAAGAAGAAGCCAGTAAATTGAAACAAATGCCTTACAAAACATGAATATATATTGGCTTTTTTGTTAGAATATTTTATATATATACATACACACACACACACACACACACATACATATTTAATTAGGATGAGACAATTAAGAGTCACAGAAAACAGTGCATAGTTAACAGTGACTTCCCTATTAACATTATATACTAGTGACAGTATTTCTCAACACTATACCATCTCAGCTGAAAACAATAATGGAAAATATAATGTTTCTTCCAGCTCAGGGGTCCCCAACCCCCAGTCCGTGGACCAGTACCAGGCTGCGGCATGCCAGCAACCGGTCCACACAAACAAGCAAAGCCCCATCCACAGGATGCAGGCAGCATACAAAACCACGCCCCCTCCGGTCCGTGGAAAAACATTTCTCCATGTAACTGGTCCCTGGTGCCCAAAAGGTTGGGCTCCTCTGTTCTAGCTGACAAAACTTGGACAGGAAGTAGAAGGATGCAGCTGTGGCACAGAGGATTATTTTGTAATTACAGTACAGGTCTGATTTTTGCTGGGGGTTGGGTTCCACTGGAAATCATTTTCCATGGTCAATGGAATGAGAGATTACACATCACATTCCTGAGACTACATATCACACACCTATGTTCTAAAGCTTTTTAGGAAATCAACCAAAAGGTAATATGTACCTTACTACAGTTTAACAACAGTGTTGGACTCTTTAGGCAGTCGTTTTCAGATGAAACATCATCCTCTTCTTTTTCTTCTCGGCCACTATAATACAATGAAGGCTGAAAATCTTCTCCGTCTGCTAGGAATAAGGAATAATCTGGACCTGCTGCTATATTCCAAATTCTGTTGTCATCACATATCTAGCAAGATATAAAAATGTAATTTAGGAACACAAGAACAGTTCTGCTAAATCAGGGCAAGACCGCTTTTAATCTACAACAAGATCCAGACAGATGTCTCTCGAGTGCTTGCTTTAAACTGTTTAACTGCTAATTTAATCCCTACAACTGGCATTTTGAAAAATGCTACTCTCAACCTAAAAGCAACATTTAAAGTCCAATTGTACTTAATAAATTTTCCCTTTATCCAATTTTCACTTTAAACCCATTCAAGTTAATGGCTATTGCCACATACTGAGATAATGAACACAATATAGAATTATGCTCAGAATGAACAAGCGTCTTCTTTCATCTATTTCAGCTCTCCTTCCAATCTGTTTCACTGGATGAGCCCCGTTTTAGATGTTACATATTTCAATCACAGCCCTTCAATCATTTTTTTTAAGCCAGAGTTGCAAACATTTTGTCTTTTTCTCCTACAAAGTGTTCGTGCTCCTGATCACTCTGGTTCTATATGATCATTCTGGATCATACAGAGCACATGAAAAAAATTACAAGGTAAATCACACATCACCATCCCTCAGCTGCAGATGGGAAGTATAGCTTTGGATGGTTTTCACCTTGCACCATGTTAAGAGGAACCTAAGATACCAGGAAGATTCTCTTAAGTCAAGATTTCTATATTTGGGGGAGCAGCAGGATCTTAGAAACCACGGAAAGCCCAGTTGAAATGTCTTCACAACTGTCTTCTTTTGAATCAAGGTATTGGCATTTTTTTAAAAAACAAAATGTGGTAATATAAGTTGAAATTAAAAATAATTATTCTGAAAAGAAGTTCATGACAATCAAAATTACCTTTGCCAGACGAGGGATTGTGGTTGGAGAATTTAAATGATTTAGCTGTCCATAAGTATTACTGCCCCATGCATATACCTGCAGAAAATTATGGAAAAGTAGAGAGAAAAGCCACTTTAATGTAACCTATGTTAAAGTAAAATAAATAAGAGTATAGCAAACTAAGAAAAAGTCCATCTGAAATAGCCTTCCATAACAGCAACTTTCAGATGTGTTGTATTACAATGTCCCTCTCTGAGCTTCTCAATCTCATATCTGGGATTTTGGTTGATTCCTAGTAATTTCTGCTCTGGGGGATTTCAGCCACCATGCCCTTGTGGAGTGGCTGGCAACAGCCCAGCAATTCAGGGTTAGCATAGACTTTTCCCATGCCATAACTCAGCGGTTCTCAACCTATGGGTCGCGACCCTATTTGGGGTCGATCGACCATTTCACGGGGGTCGCCAAGCAAGGCTGTCCGCCATTTTTTCCCCCTTTTCCGGCGGGTGCCTTACCTCCCTTGGGCTGGGCCAGCTGGTGGTCGGCCTGCTCCGTCTCTGCCGCTTGCCAGCTACGCCTCGGCCGGCGCAGGGGGCAGAACCACGCATGCGTGGCGCTCCCGGGCAGGGAAAGTCCTCGACTTACGACCGGTTGGGTAGTCCACGACTTACGACTGGTTTAGTCCTCGACTTACGACCGGTTTAGTCCTCGACTTACGACCGGTTGGGGGTTGCGGCATTAAAAAGGTTGAGAACCATTGCCATAACTAGTCTAACTCATAAAATGGTGGCCATAAATTGGATCTACATTACTCTCATAATTTGTTTATTCTTTATTTATATCCCACCTTAATTATTTTTACAAATAACTCAAGGCAGTGGACATATCCAATATACCTTCCTTGTATTTTTTCCCAGAACAACAACCCTGTGAGGTGAATTGGACTGAGAGACAGTAACTGTCCCAAAATCACCCAGCTGGCTTTCATGGCTAAGGCAGGACTTGAACTCAAGGTCTCCTGCTTTCCAGTTTGGTGCCTTAACCAGGTTGCTCCTTATCTGAAGGTGGAGAACATTTCTAGCAGTCCTTTCTCAAAATATGATCATTTTCTGGTCATTTGAGGCATGAGCACTTCTAATTCCCTCAAGATGGTAGGCCCAGACTCCTTATGAATCTGATATGTTTGAGGAATTACCGAACAATCAGATAAGTTTTGTTGAATATTGAAATCCTGAGGAGCAAAGTTGCTAGATATGATTATCCCAGAATAGTGTCTTCCTGCTAACTAATCCAGAAATGCTCTCTGATTTACTCTGGGACAGGAAAGGGCAGAAGAGATGCCCAGCACAATGATGGCCAAAAAAAGGGAAAAAATGAACAAAAGTGACTGGACATGAACATAAGCTGATGTTCGACTTATATCATTATGAAAAGGCCAATTAAGCATCACTACCTTCCTACCAGTCTTGTGTCTTTGCAATGCAATGCTGTTCAGGACGACCTGCCCCTTTGGGGAATTAAGAGGCAGATTAATTTGTTTTAAACTGTTGTTCAAAACTTTACCTCTCTCAGCCCAAGGCCCCCTTATATTATTGTGGCAAAAAACAAGAGGACAGTCTTATATATGCCACCTTGTGCTCCTGAATAAAAGGAAGGATATAAATACAGAAATAAATACATAATTTCACTCTTATAATCCCATCAATGCTTAACCACCCAGATAAGAAGAATTAAACCCTAACCAGCCCAGGCAGCTAGAAATCTCCTACAGCTGGAAAAGACAAACTAGAATGAGAATCTTCTCTTTATTCAGATTCTGGCCATCAAGAGGCATGCTTTCAGTCTCAGTTCACGTAAACATTTATAAAAGTATCTATACAAAAGGCATCAATACTGAAAACATAATGTTGAAAGGAAATCTGAATATGGAGTGAGACACATAAAACACAGAGTTCGATCTAATGAGTGACGCTCCAGATGTGAGATAAGCATTTATTTTCCTACCTGCGATTTAGCTGTGAGTGCCAAGGAATGATGGCCACCAGCAGACAAATGAATTACTTCCTTACCATCAAGACTTTTTACACACAATGGTTGGAGCCTGCAAACCCACAAAATGAAATCAAGATCCTCAACTTACAGAAGAAATCTGCACAGAGTATTTTTCACAGGAATACAATGATTGACTTTAACCAAAATACAAGGCCAATACGGAAGACAAATTGTTTTGTTATGATCAAGATGGCCCACATATATTGAACCAGTCATTACACAGTGAAAACATAGGGAGACAATTCCAAGTAGGTTATACTTAGTGTTGTGTGAGCAAACATTAAGCATGGATAGAGAGATTTCTCCTGCTTTCCTCCCTGTGGCACCTCCAATAAGCCCCACAAATCACACCCCATCACAGATGAACACAGAGGACTATGAGAGGGAATTACTGTTTCCTAACTAAGAAAAGCTTTTCTCTCTAAACTCTTACCTTGGCAAGACATCACCGTGTCCCAGTTGCCCATTTTTTCCTTTCCCCCAGCTCCACACCTCAGTTCGCAGAGATGGAAGAAGCGCATCAGCTTCACCACTATACGTAGGTGTCAGGGCAACTGTTCTCATTTTGGCTCGTCCTACTTTCCTCAAAAGCCTTGGAGAAACTTTGATAAGGGAAGCAAGAATAAATGGTTAGAGCGCAGCAATTATTTATATCTTTTGTTCGAATATATTATTTTCTAATCCTTAAATAGCAGATTCATAGTCTTTTTGGCGGGTCTAAATGCTAAGTATTATACTGAGACCGTCACCTAGGCAATTTGTTGGAAGCATGATGTATCTTTTCAATCTACTTTGAAATAAAAGAGGAATGCCGTACAACTTCATGATGTTAATTAATTCCCCCTATTCTCAAAAAGTTTTAAAATCTGTGGTTCTAGGCGTTCAGTCGTTCAGAGTACATCAGGTAGCTATTTCCTATAAAACTGCTATTGCTTTTTTGAATAACAAAATTCTCATCTGACAAAGAAGACATCATATTCCTTTCTAAGAAGCCTTCATAGAGAGAGAATTTTGCAATTAGTCTGCAACTTACACTCATTTGACCCTAAACTGGAATCCAATTAGCTAGTCTAAAAACAAAAGTAACCCCCCCCCCCAAAAAAAAAGAAATGATGGATGTTTTCATTAGGTGTCTACCGGAACATACAAGTTTAGGGCTATGAGGCTTGAGCTGCAAAAATGTGACCGGATGGCAGCAGAAAGATACAGAAAACTCTTGCTATCTAGAACTTTGCAGCTAAGACCTGGTAGCCACTGAAAGACAAATTGTAGCTATATCAGCAGCTTTATTTCCACATAGGCAGTATTTTGGAATGTGTAGTATAACTGGGAGGAGTTTGCCCATTCACGGGTGGGTGTGGCCAGTCACAAGACACCTATTTACTAAATGACAAACTGATGAGTTAGTGCCTTGGCATTTGTTCTAGCCCTTCAAATTCTCCCTACCAACTCAAGATACTTCTGTTTTTTTAGGGCAGCTGGACACAATCCTTACAGAAGCAGCTACGGCAATCCATTTAATTTTTTTTAAAATCAGCCCAGCTATTTTTGAAAATAAAAAATGACGCTGGAGGTTAGGATGCAATCATGCCAATTTTCTATAATAATTCTTTTAATTAAATTAATATTTACAATATAGAATATGGTTACAGAGTCTAATAGAAGATTCCTACATGCACAATGCTATCTACTGGACAATTTGCTTAATTATGGCTTGTTTCTGAAAGCCCCTTTTTGACAAAAGAAAGGAAACCTGTGCCAAGTGGTAAAAATTATTGGTTGAATGGTTTATTGAAATGTCTGCCCACTTACTAAATCGTAACAGGAGGTACCCACCTATGTACTTGAGAATAAAGGAAAACATTAGGGAATGTAGTAAACTCACAATGAACATATTTTATCAAAAAAATATCTTGGTATGAGTATCAGAATATTCATGTTTAGAAGTGTTACTTAATTGAATCTGGACCTGACCAATTTTTAATTAAAAATACAGTTGGACACATATTTGCAATAGCTCTGCAAGTGAAAAATACTGTACAAAACAATGTAAGAGATTAATGTTTGCCTCTCTGCCTTAGGACTACATCAATTCCCAGAAAAAACAGTCACCTGGGCAAACAATGCTTTTCTAGAAGTCATAATCAAGCATTCTAGCATTAGATAAGAGGCGACTGTGAAGTGGCAGGGGACCATATTGAATGTTAAAAGTCATTCATATTCTCTTTGACTCAAAAGGACACACTTGTGCTTTAGGACAGGGCTTTTCAACCTTTTCACCCATTGTACCACTTTTAGGATATGGCAACATCCGAGTACCACCAGTAGTCTAGCAAAGTGTCAAAAACTTGACGCCCCAAAAAAAGAAAAAAATGATAAAGTACAGGTAGTCCTCGACTTACAACAGTTTGCTTAGTGACTGTTTGAAGTTACAATGGCACTGAAAAAAGTGCCCCCCAAGCCACAGCCAAGCAAGACACCTGCCTGCCCACCCGGCGGCACTCTTCCTCCTGTCCAAGGTTTTCATTGTTGTGAGCATTTCTGTTGAGGATTGGCAGTGGGGGTGGGGTGGAGGGTGTTTGGTTTTTATTCCCCCCCTGTCTGCTGGGTGGCTGCAGCAGGTTTTGGTCACTTCACATGACCCTGGGACACTGTGACCGTCATAAATATGAATCAGTTGCCAAGCATCTGAATGTAAATCACAAGATCCTGGAGATGCTGCAACATTCCAGCTGACCGGCTCTTCGGGGCTCAGCAGAAATGCCAGGATCAGTGCTGCTTTCCAGCTGATTGGTGCTTCTTCAGGGCTCAGCAGAAACACCAGGATCAGCACCGAGCTCCAGCTGGAGCCTGGCACTGATCTTGGTGCTTCCGCTGAGCCCTGACAGCCCTGCAGCTCCAGCCATCTCTCGCTCAGGCTTGTGTGGTGCTGCCACCGGTTCAGCTCATTCCCCTCTCCCTCTACTACTTTTCTAGGATGGTCGCGTACCACCTGCCAGGTGCCAATGTACCACAGGTGGTACCCGTACCACTGGTTGAAAAGCCCTGCTTTAGGAGACATGCATTGTGCAACTGGTGAATTAAAAAGAGGGATTTAAGACACATCTCATTTCTACATGGGATAGGTCCCTGCAGATGGGTAAGCATGTGCATATAAGCAATAGAAAAAGTAATTTGAGAAACTGACTTTTTAAAACATAAACAGTTTGAAAATATTTACTCTGCTGAAGAATAACATTTTTGTTACATATGTGCTTTAAAAACATTTACAAAATAAAGTGTCTAAAAATAATTATTTTTATTAACAATGCTCCTAATAGCCTATCTTCAAAATCACATACAAAGAGGTAACGGTGTCTTTTAGTTTTCCCAATCTTCTAATCTTAGGATCTACTTCCAAAACAAGGGGTTATATTGAAGGGCTGACACATAACACAATCTGCCATTAGAAACCTGTACATTCTTTACACTTTGGTGAATTTAGACGTTAACATCCAGGAATAAAAATCCTGGAGATCAGCTGAGCGTCTCACCTTGGGAGAGCAAACCAGGCAAGGAAAGCCTTCGACAGATTCCTTCAGATTCCTCTTCTCTAATATCTACCAAGCTGGAACTTTTTTTGCCTTGCATCGATTCCAGCTTGACCTGCTCTTCTCGACTGTCTTTCATTCCATCAAGGACTGGAGAACTTCCACTAGGTGGGGATGCTGTGCAACCTGCAACTGGGCCATAGAAGTTCATTACCTTCTTCAGAGATGAGGCTCCGGCTTCATATGTAGCAGCTACTCTTACACCAACCGCAGATGCACAAGAAACTACTAGACTATTAAGGGCAGATGTACCTGGAAGAGGCGGACCGGGGAGGCAAACAAGATGATCCTCTTCTTGAGACTGCTAGAAATAAAGTAAGCAAATCCAAGAAATCTATTAGAGCATATATGCCAACTTTAGATAGTTCAAGACACCTTGTTTTATGACAAATGCATACAACTGATACTGAAGATGAGTTATTTAAGTGTCTTAGCTGCACCACATGTTTAAGAAAAGTGACCTATAATCAGATTTTTTAAGAGATAGCAGAAATCTTTGCTCACTCATATTCAGAAAAGCTGAAGTAAGGGCATTGAAAACAACAACAATAATAATAAGTTGGAAGGGACCTTGGAGGTCTTCTAGTCCAACCCCCTGCTCAGGCAGGAAACCCTATACCATTTCAGACAAATGGTTGTCCAGTCTCTTCTTACAAACTTCCAGTGTTGGAGTATTCACCGCTTCTGGAGGCAGGTTGTTCCACTGGTTAATTATTCTAACTGTCAGGAAAATCCTCCTTAGTTCTATAGGTTGCTTCTCTCCTTGGTTAGTTTCCATCCGTTGCTTCTTGTCCTGCCTTCAGGCGCCTTGGAGAATAGCTTGACTCCCTCTTCTTTGTGGCAGCCCCTGAGATATTGGAACACTGCTATCATGTCACCCCTCATCCTTCTCTTCATTAAACTAGACATACCCAATTCCAGCAACCGTTCCTTATATGTTTTAGCCTCCAGTCCCCTAATCATCTTTGTTGCTCTTCTCTGTACTCTTTCTAGAGTCTCAGCATCTTTTTTACATCGTGGTGACCAAAACTGGATGCAGTATTCCAAGTGTGGCCTTACCAAGGCATTGTAGAGTATTAATACTTCGTGTGATCTTGATTTTATCCCTCTGTTAATGCAGCCCAGCACTGTGTTGGCTTTTTTTGGCAGCTGCAGCACACTGCTGGCTCATATTTAAGTGATTGTCCACTAGGACTCCGAGATCCCTCTCACAGTTACTACTATTGAGCAAGTTATCACCTATACTATAGCTGTGCACTTGGACTGTTTTGCTAAATGTAGAACCTTACTTTTTTCACCATTGAATTTCATTTTGTTGGATAGCGCCCAATGTTCAAGTCTGTCAAGATCCTTCTGTATCTTAAGCCTATCTTCTGGAGTGTTGGCTATTCCTGCCAGCTTGGTGTCATCTGCAAATTTGATGATTTCCCCATCTATACCCTCATCCACCCCACTACACACTTCCCTACTTGTTGCCTTCTGTATAAAAGTTTGCTATTATTTCTATAACTACCACTGTAAATCTACATGCCAGAGTTGAACAAATCACTAAGTCTGGATAAATAGCCCAAAGTAATCATCCTCCCAATTAACTTTCTACTTCTGTTTATTTCAATAATAAAATGGTCACTTATGAGGTGACCAGCACATGCTGCATTCCATCAAAAGCACTGTACATTTCTCTTTCCCCAAACAATAAACCATACAACATGTATGGTAAAATAAATGCAAATAACGCTAGCATTTTAAATTTTAGATCTGCATCCTTTTATTTCAGTGTTTTCCTAAACCAATTCAAATCATGATTTGTCCTGCCCACTTGCCTCTACATTGTCTAATTGTACACATGCAGCTTCTTCTAGAAAAAAAAATCAAGATTTTACAAGATAAAGTAATAAACAGGGTATCTTTTACAAAATGGGGCAGTTCTGAACACTTTATCATTGCAAGAGTCACTCTGATTTTATGGATTAGTTGATAGATTTCACAGAGTTAACATTGTCGTTGAATGCTACTCTCTTGTTTTAACCATTTGGTCGTGTCTGACTTGGCGACTTTATGCTACTCTGTCAAGCTAGTCTCTTAATCACAGAAAAAGAAATTCCCCAACATTAAGTTAGTTACTAATTTTGAAGTTTAGCAACATATATAAACAATAAAAAAATTTCAAACAGTACCAAAGTTTTTGATCTTTGAATTTATCATAAAATATAAATTACTAACTACCTTAAAAAAACTTATAATGGCTGCATCCATACATTGCAGTTACAATTCTTTCAGAAATCTGGTTCTTTTAAAATTCTGGTTTTACGGTGAATGAGGAGCCTACTGATACACTTGGCTTCTCTACTAGCAGATATGAGTAAACAAGTTATTTTACTTAATGTTTGTTCAGTAAGACGTTTTGTTGGATGTGGAAGAAACCAATTTCCTGCCTGCATAAAGCTAAACAAGTCATGAAGAGAACCACCCTGAACTTCAGAAGCTCCTATGTGAAAGAATAGTTGAGGCATATGCACCAAGCACGCTGTTCATTCCAACGTCTAAATCAGAGGCCCCCAACCTTTTGGGCACCGGGGACCGGTTCTGTGGAGAGAGGTTTTTCCACGGACCGGAGGGTGTGTGGTTTTGTGTGCTGCCTGCATCCCACAGATGGGGCTTTGCTTGTTTGTGCAGGCTGGTTGCTGGCATGTCACGGCCCGATACCGGTCCACGGTCCGGGAGTTGGGAACCCCTGGTCTAAATAATTCTGACTTACCCTGACAATCAAAGGCAGCTATTAAGCAGCACCAACCTTACAATAAGGACAATGAATTCAGATGAGCAAGCATATGATATGAACCATTTTACATTGATATAATCCACTACGTACCCCATTGCCACTAAATGGTTCTATCATAATGCTGAAGGAACAGAGAATATATCATAGTGATCAGAAATTCCATAAAGGTTACAAAAACTGAAAAAAATCTGAAGTCCTTTATTCATTCTTCTTACTGCACTGCTACATGGTTTTGGTAATTTTAACAGAAAATGAAATATCTGTAACAAACATGTCTCTACATAAACCATCCATCTGAAGAGAACTTGGCCAATAGCAAAAAGCACGCATTCAACACTGTCAGCTCCTGATAAGCTGAAATCACAGTTCAGTTGTGTGCATTACTTGGCATTGATTAACATTCAGCAGTTTTCAAAATCTGAATAAAAATTATGTCCCATTATATATTAATTTCCAAGATAAAGCTATCACTCTAGAGTGAAGAGGGAAGTTTCCATCTACAGTACTAAAAATAGGTTTTGCTTAGAAAGCTTAAAGTAAGCTATTAACAGCCCGCTCAATGATTTATAACGAAAGTATAGTAATCTAATATAAACCTATGAAACTTTGTTAATTGTACATACTTAGATTGCAATAAAAGATTAATAAAGAAAGTGTTGAGATTATTCCAATAACCTACTCAAACATGGCTAGGAATTTTCTAAGGTCTTATCCAAAGCTGAGGGAGCATGGTGATTATAAATGTGCTATCTACCACAGCTCTCTTGGAATTTACATTTTTAGAGGCCATGTGAAATTCCATGTGAAACCCCACTCCCTGATGCTGTTACTAGATTGGGTAATGAAACATCTGCAAGAAAACAACCAAACTCAGAGAGCACCAAGGACCCCTTATGTGAAATTCTTTTCTTACTGGCCATTTCGACCTTGAGCTTTTATGAGACGTTTTAAGAATTTTGCATGCACATATCACAACATAGAAAGGAAGAAAAATATGGCCAAATAAATGCAGATGGATACCTGTTCAGGTTGAGAGCTGATTTGCGGCTCCCTGCTTGCATTTAATGAATTATCTGAAAGGCTCGTCAAGTGTTGCTTTACTGCTGTTTTATCAATGATCAAAGGTTTTCCTGGACTAGAAATGCCACTATCTTCCTGTCCATCATTGTTCGAAAATATACTTGTTACATCATACTCTGCCCCAGGCAACATCTGATCTTCTGAAAGGGTTTTTTGACAATCCTCACCTTGGCTGCTTGTTAAACTCTTTCTTTCCAAAGTTTCTAGCGAGGAACAAGATGTGCGATTCTCAGACTGAGACTCAGTCAGTACAACACCCAATGGACAGCAGTGGCTATCAGAGATGATGACATGGTCTTCTTTATCAGTCATGGTAATGAGAAGCTGGCTGCAGTGATTGCATCTCTCTGGGAGAGGTTTTAAGTCTTGAGTGGGGAGGCATTGCACCAGGGCCAAGCTGTGGTGGGTCCCACAAGCAATCTGAAGCACCACACGCCCTGCCAGATATTCAACTTTTTGCGGTTTGGTCACTGGAAAAGCATTGGTTATAAGGCCTAGTTGACAGCCACTTCCCCATGCCCATATCTCTCTACTTTGTGAAAGTGCCAAGGTGTGCTTCTCTCCACACGTCAATTGCAAAATCCGAATTGGCAAGAAAGGTCCAGCTTCATCATCAGAAATGCTGATGGGGGTGGGTTCTGGCACAGTAGTCTGATTGGCCACAGCACACTGACCAGCAGAATTCTCCCCCCACATATATACCACTCCTCCTTCAGTTACTGCTCCACTGTGAAAGCTGCCAGCTGCCACTGTAGCAACATGTTGTCCATTCAAAGCTTTTTCCAGTATGGGACAATTAATAAAAGACTGTTCTAGCCCAAGTCTCCAAGGAAGTTTTCCAAAACTATAAACTTTGCCATCTGAAAGAAAAGAAAGTTATTCAAATTAACTTCAAGTTTCATTACATACAGTCTGAGGGGAAAAAAGAATAAAGTGGTAATACATCTTGAACATAAAGATGCAACAGCTCCTTAATTAGTTATTCAAAATTTGAGAAGACAAACCTATAGGAACAAAATACCCACAAATCAAGATCCTACCAGTAAACAAAATAAATACAGAACTGAAACTGTGTTTCGTCACATTCCAACACTATATTATACACTGTATACAAGGAATCCACAAGAGCATTGCAGTATAAAAATTAAACTTTTTTTAAAAAAGAAGGTATTAATATATTTCTGACTTGCTCTTGCCAATTAAGAATAGAGATACAAGTGCAGACATTAGAACCTTGTGTAAATGAACTATTAACATTTTGAATATCAGATTAAAACTTTTTAAAATATAGCTAGTTGAAAATTTATATTGATAGAATTTTAAATTTGGCTATTTTCCTTTAAAAGCAAATGGTTCTTTAAAACCCAACTTCCATACCATCAGACAAAAGTACACCATGGTTTTCTCCAAGTGCTGCCTGCAACACTCTTTTTCCAGTCCAACCGGGAAGTCTTTCTGGGGTAGGACAACAGGAACCAGCCTGCCACACATAGACCAGGCCTCTCTCTCTGGCTCCTTCCTGGGCTGTTAAGCTAGCATAAATATGAAACAGTGACGCATTTAAATCCGGGCATATCAGAATTGATTTATCGCACATGTCATAAGTGTTTTGAATTTCTTTACTTAGATGCAAATCTACCCCAAAAAGCAGTTGGGAGCGCAAGTAAAAAAATAAAGCTTTTTATTTAAAAAGATATCCTCTGAATTAGATAATCCTACTGTTCTCCTGTTTGGTTTGAATGTATTTATTCATTCATTCATTTAAATTCTATAGCCTATATTTCTACGTTATATAATCTGACTCCAATTCTAACAATAATCCTCTACATAATTTTAAAAAGCACATATATTAACTAATATTATCTTATTAGTTTTATTAGGCAACAATATTTAAATTTATTACTCAGCAAAATACTATTACAGTACTCATCTGGCCAAACACATACATATATAAACCAATAAGGAACAATAAAAAAACCCCGTTGTTCTGCACCTCAGGTAGCTGGATATTTACAGAATGTAACTAAACATACTAATGGTAGTTATGAGACTTTTACGTGTGAAGTGCAGAATTACCTTTCTTCTTTTGAGTCCATCAGTCACTGAGAATGCTCCATCACCGAGTTATTCTTCTTTGAAATAATAACAGGCCTATATGATAAATCATTAAAAACAAAACAAGCTTAGGTGAGATTCAGGCAGAGTGAAGCTACATACTACAAAGTCTAAGAATGATACGGTCAGTAAAGGATAACACAAAAGTGTGATGATAAAAATATCTACTCTACGATATTCTGTTAAAAAAGCAATTTACAAATAAAGGTTCATTATAGTTATCCCATCCACTTTTAGAGAAGAAATGTTCAAAGCCTGTTGTCTTCAAGACAGCCGACATCTTCAGCCAAACCTCCTAGCACTGATAGGTGTTAAAGGATATACTTGGCCTGCTGCAACACAATAGATTATTAAACAGTAAATTTGTAAGCATTCAGAAAACAGTGCATTGCCCGGCAAGAATCAATCCATAAATACAATGGCAAGCAGCAGCTTATTTATATTTCCATGGATTAAAAATTTAAAACAGATGAAGGAAACGTTCAGAGAACCTAATTTACATCATGACATTTATAAAAGTATGAAAATGTCATATTTTAGTTCAATTAACATATATACTGATATTCCTCACCATATACCCATACAGGTATAAATGTATACCTTACATTTAAAAGCTCTGATTGCTAGCATATCAGAAATAACATGACTTCCCTACAATTTAGGACGCAGGTCTTCTTAATTACAACAAGCTTAATGCTTACGGATATTATGCAAGAAGTAACAGTAATGGCTAGTTGTAAAAAAATTGAGCTCTTCAGGTAGATGAATCCCTTATACTGTGCATACAATTCTTTTAAGTGTTTACTAACATATCACCAACCAGTGACACATTAAACATATATTTTAACAATTAAGTAGACTCACTTTTAGTACACATAGAATACCTACCATGATGCCATGTTTATAGTTTTTCAATTCTCCAAGGCCTATTCAAACATCAGCCTCACTCCCCATCCAAGTCTGAGAGTTTATTCAAGAGGATGGATAGACTCAGTAGGCTGAGAGCTTCTGATTCCATGCAGAATTCCACAGGAGGAGCAGAAGACAATATGATATTTGTCCATTTCTCCTCTAGTTTCCAAGACAACCTCCCCCCCCCTTTAAATCTGCCCAGGAACAGTGAGGGAGGTGCTACTAAGAACTGTAAAGATCTATGCACATTAGTATTCATTCCACTTTCCACAGGCTGCAGTGCTGAGCTAAATGTCACTGAAGGGATTCTCCTGCTGGCAGAAAAGCAGCTGGATCCAACTTAGCAATTCTTTGGTGTGTTGGAGGTTGGAAGGAGGAATGTATGCACTGCTATGAGCCATCTTGCTAGTATTCTCCCAGGGAGTCTAAGGCAGGCCTTTTGTAGTGCATGTTGTTTCTCTGTTTGGCACTGCTGAGACAGAGATCTTCCCTGTTTCATTATTTAGTTACTGTATTAAGGTTGTGAGATTTAATACTCAAATGGAATAACTATAATGTTAATTTTTCCTGAAGGGACACAACAAATACCTAGCTATAAGAAAGAGAGGGATAATGGCTGATATAGTCTTGGTATGGATCTTATCTTGGTAAAAATAGACTGCTAGGAAAACAAGAAATGCTAAACAAGAACCCAAACATCCTATTAGCTATGCCGCATTCCCCTAAAGCTAGTATCACATTATAAAAGCAATGACAAAACCAATAGCAGGCTTGTACTATAGGTCAGGGGTCCCCAACCTTTTGGGCACCAGGGACCGGTTACATGGTGAGAGATTTTTCCGCAGACGGGGGGGGCGGGCGTGCTTTTGTGTGCTGCCTGCATCCTGTGGATGGGGCTTTGCTTGTTTGTGTGGCCCGGTTGCTGGCATGTCGCAGCCCCGGTACTGGTTCACGGACAGGGGGTTGGGGACCCCTGCTATAGGTAATCTTTGACTTACAATAACAATTGGGACCAGAATTTTGGTCACTAAGTGACAGTTGTTAAGTGAGTCGTCATGTGACCAGGCTTTATTTTGCAACCATTTTACTTTGATCATTAAGTGAATCACCATAGCCATTAAACAAATTTGGCTTCCCACATTGGCTTTACTTGTCAGAAGCCGGCAGGGAAGGTCTCAAATCATGATCACATGACTATAGGATTCTATAACCATCATAAATGAGAGCCAGTTGCCAAGCATAGAAATTGTGATTATGTGACTGCTAGGGTTATGTTGTAACTTTGAAGACAGATTGTAAACCAGTTTTGTCAGCATCATTGCAACTCCAAACTATTATTAAACGAATGGTTGTGCATTGAGGACTGCCTGTATAATAATTAGCATTGTAATATAAAAAAATTAATAAACAATTGTTACATCCTAAGTAATTTATTGCAATACTCATGAATTGATTCCATACAGATCCACACTTTTTGTATCATACCTGATTATATTTTATCCCTACAAAATCTACGCAGATAATCAAAATAAGCTATGATTTAATGTAAAAACATGAATTGCAGTTAGCAAGCTATAGTTTGCAAGGATCTACAAGCCAAGTTATTGCTTATAGAAGTTATAGTTTACACAAATTATATTTGATTTTTTTATTGATATTTACTAAATACAGGAATGACATTCCATCTCAAATCACAGCATATTGCAATGAGTGAATGCAGGCACTTTCTACACTTTACCAAATAAGACTCATCTTGCGCCAAGACTATATCATAGAAATAACTAATAATTTCAAAAAGCATCAAATTATAACTCTGGCCTCTCCTATTTACTGAAATCCAAAAAATATAATTTTCTGCATGAAACCAAAGCATTAAGAGAAAATACCAGAGGAAATGCGCCTTTCTTTAAAAATTAGGGATTATAGTGGTTTAGCTTCATTTCATAGTAACATATTTTTAAAATGATGGATATCCTACACATATATAAATATGCATGTCAGTACTATATACTTAGTTTAGAATAATTTTATCTTATTGTTAGAGACGGAGGGGGAGCTGGTGTGATGGACTACAGTGAAGTGGCAGTTTTCCAGGAAGGGGGGGAGCACATTCAAGAAAGGGGTGTGTGTGAGACAGGAGGCAGCACAGTATAGGGATGAATAAGAAACAGAGAAAGAGAGTAAGGATAGCAACTCCCTAGAACAGAGGTCTTCAAACTTGGCCCTTTTATGACTTGTGGACTTCAACTCCCAGAATTCTTCACCCAGGCATGCTGGCTGAGGAATTCTGGGAGTTGAAGTCCACAAGTCATAAAAGGGCCAAGTTTGAAGACCCCTGCCCTAGAATCTCCCAGTATACTATGGTAGGGTAAAAGTAGTAAGGATTTAGTCTGGCAACATTCTATTGTATGTAAGCAAATAAAGAACTGAATTCTTTATTCAAGAACATGCTGTTCTTGGCTTTGCCTGCCACATATTTTCCTATAAGAATCATAAAAATTGATTCCTTCGATCTATTTTCATAGGACTTAATTTCTAAGCTGATAATTATTCTTACTGTTGTTCTTAGAATCTGTCCATTTACTCAAATTTACTTTGGTTTTTAGTGAATAGTTGTCAAAGTAATAGACCTTAATTTAATCCCAGATCTTAAAATCAACACATCTTAAAATTGCCAGGGCTGAGAAACCAGAATTTGGTTTCTTATCTCATCTCATGTGAGGCTACCTTATCTCATCTTATGTGAGGCTACCCTCCAGCTTGATAAGGAGTAACTGATAAGCACTCTTTGACCGTGGCTCTTCAGCCAGTTACTTTTCCAATTTATCCACACCATCCTGTCAGCATTTAACTTGCTAATCAGACAATAAGAGATTCTTAAAATAGCTGGCTTTTCTACTAAGTGCTGCAGTGCAGATCACTCTTCTTTGTTGTTCCAGACAGCTGCACCTGCATTCATAATACTTCCATTCATTCAAGCACCTTGAAAAACATAGCCCAATCTTCCATAGGTGGTGAATCAAGCCAAATCCTCTGCTATTACAAAGAGTTTAAGACTTATTGTTCTTTTCTCCAAAGAGTTTGAATCTCTATAGAACCTGAAATTCCTCAACTCAGGCAGTAACTCTAATGTGGGTAGATGGTGCCATTTTGGCTATATAAGAAGCCATACTCAGGAGAAAATATGCTGGCTGGGTGATTTTGAGCCACTCCTCCTCTCTCAGCCCAACCCACTTCCCAAGGTGGTTGTTGGGAAAACAGAAGGCAGGAGTATTAGGTATATTTGTCACCTTGATTTATATTCTAACTATTAGGTTTTATCCTATCTCATTCATATATCTTACACACACACACACCTTTAGATTTTTTAAATCCCTTTATTTTTTATAAGGGCCCATGGCATCACATTTACAACACCTTCCCCTAATTTACCTGTGACATTTAGAATCCACCCCCTCCCTAATAAACCCAGGGCCTGACAAACGTTCTCCAGACAATGTCAAGGGCAGCATATTGATTTTTAGCATGGGCAGGGAGAGAATAGAGAGCAATATCCAACCGGTATCGTATTTTCCGAAGAATTCATGGGAATGTTTTTCTTAGAACTGGGGAAGGGCTGAATCCCAGGAGAGTAAACCCACAGGCGTTTCCCAGTACAAGTTCAACTCGGGAAAGGAAACGGGCAAAAAGGAGACCGAGGGATCCTTGGCGCTCTCTGAGCTCGCTTGCTTTTCTTGCCGACGTTTCATTCCCTAAACCAGGTAGCACTGACGATGTTACCTAGTTTGGGTAATGAAACGTCGGCAAGAAAAGCAAGCAAGCTCGGAGAGCACCAAGGACCCGCTCATGTGAACCCTGAGCTACAAAAATTCTCCTCTTTTGGGAACGAGGAGGCTGGCTCCGGGGCCGAGCGGAAGGGGCCGAAAGCCCGGAGCTCGTGTGAGCAACAGGCAGACGAGGCCGCACAACTGAGAAGGGTCTCCGGGTGCTCCCCCTCCCGCTCCTAACACGCGACTGAAGTTTCCACAGCCCAGCCAGGCGGGAACTCTGCCCCGCGCGCCTCCTCGCACCCTCCGTTCCGAAGGTTTCAGGAAGGGGGAGAGCGAAGGGATACCCGCGCTCAGGACCCGCAGCTCCACCCCCCCCGCCTTCTCCCACACCGAGCAGCAGCTCCCTTCCCTCTCACCTGAAGTCTCGCGACCGCGCTTTAATTGCCCAAATCAGCCGCGGCTTCCAAGGCACGCTGGAATCAGCTGATTCACGTAAAGGGAAAGAGGCGGGCTTTGCTGGGCCGAAGGGGCGGAGCTGACCTGGCGAAAAAGATGGGAAAGATGCAGGAACCAGAAGATGAGGACGGGATCTTGAATGGGACAAACTAATGCAGATGCGTAAGCTTAAACGAAAGTGGCTAGAGGTTGAAAAGCAAAGCGAACAAAAAGAACAATTCTCGTAAGATTTTAAGAAATGACTATTACTGGCATTTTCTTAGAATGGAATACACTCTTTTTTGCCCTTTTTCTAATTCAGAGATCATGAGCAAAATCAATAGTAAAGCGACCAGGTCTGGCTTGGAAAACTGTGCGACCTCTCGTGGGCATCAAAGAGAATACAGAAAATTCTACCTCGTTGCTGCCCTCTAGCCATAATGTGGCTTTTTTTTAGCACGCCAGTTCTCGTAAGCTCTGCTGAGCCCTGGGGCCTTTTTTTGTTTGGGAAGCTTGTGTTTGTTTTCAAAATACCATCAATGCCCCGTAGGCAGGAGTTAATGAATACACCCCATTGTGCATGCTTTAGTACTGTTATCAATGCTGAACATTATAATTGCAACAGAAATTGGCAGGACGTTGAAAAGGTGCCAAGGTGCTAATTTGTGCTTAAAGCCTGAGCATATGTGATAAGCTGTGTGTAGCACAGTAAATGTTACCTAAAATATAGAGGGCTTTTTTAAAAAACGTAAATTCAGCTTTGCATTGCTCAGGAATGCCAGTGCAATTCAATGCGTTCATTTCTGAATGAAGCTCAGTGAATTTACAGTTTTAATTTTCTTTGCTTTCTTAATGTTGGGAGTTGAAGCATTTTGTCGGTACTGTGAGCCTTCCTGAGAGCAGGAATTTGATATGTATAATTACTGGTGAAGCAGGATATTATGTAACTAACAGAAAAGAGATTTAGTTACAGGAAATACGTTATAGGCATGAGTGAAGCTTACCGCCTAGATAACTACATCTATCAGAAGGAGAATCAAAGAGTCAGAGCATGTGAAGCTGGGAAGAAAAGCAGAAGGAACTGACCTGAGATTAATCGTCTTGTACATAAAACAAAGCAGGCACTGTGATAGACAAAAAGGGGCCACAGAATAAATCCTTAATTGTCTATCTACATTCCCTCAAGCTGTGCTGCCAGCTGTGTAAATCATAAGCACACATAATTACTACTACTGCTGTGTTAGGGGAAGTAAACAGTAAAATAAGACCAACATGCATGAACCATTCTGCATTTAATCACAATTTACCCACTGGAAGGGATGGGATAGCTCAGGTTTTCTTGAAGTAAAATACAGAGAGAAGTTGTATGGACAGCATGCTGTAACATTTCAAGCAAGAAAAAAAAAGTGGGAAAATGATACTGTAACGTGTGTACACGCGCCTTCAAGTGAGTGTTGACTCGTGTGATTACCTGGATCTGTCCCTGAAATTTATTGGCAAAATGTTTCGGAAGTGCATCACCCATTGGCTGCTTCCCAAGACTGAGAAAGAGTGATTGACCTAAGGTCACTCAATTGACTTCATGCCTAAAGCTGGACTAGAACTCACAGTGTCCGTTTTTAGCCTGGTGTCTTAACCATTACTATATAGCAGGGGTAGGCAACTTTGGCTCTTTTATGACTCGTGGACTTCAACTCCCAGAATTCCTGAGGGAGTTGAAGTCATAAAAGAGCCAAGGTTGCCTACCCCTGCTATATACCAATAGGCTAAAAACTGATGGCATGGGTTCAGATCTTGTTATTTTACCACAAGCTCCCAAGAGTTGAACATAAATTTTAAACACCGCCCACTAACTCCCCTCTAGACAGTCCCCAACACTCTCACTTTTCATTATTGCCTTATCCCTTGTCCCCACTGGTCACCAGGCAAATGATTAGTGCAGCTCCTATTGAAAGGTTGGAATAATGCAAAAGAAGGGTTGCCCCTGGATACAGGCTAAGTTCTGGAGCAGCAAAGTTAGTCTGCTCCGTAAGTATCACAGCTGTGAAAAGGAAGCCTATAAACTGCAAAACATACATTCTCATATATATTAACACTTTTCCCATTGGTCATTTGTGCTGAGGGTTAACATAATATAGACTTGGGTCTAGATTTTTTATTTTGTGTTCAAGTTTATGATTAAGTTGTACATTTTGAAACATGCACATTCTCTGGAACAGTATTTGTTAAACTGAAAGAGTTACACAAAGAATAAATTTGAATTATTGGCCTAAAACTGTAGAAGAAAGGGAGTTCTTATGAGTCACGAGAGACCTCATGCAAGTCATATGAACATTCATACATTTCCTATCTTTGGTAAATAGAAAACAATATGAGAGACAGAAAATCAAGCCGTTTGAGGGCCGAAGAAAATGGGTGACATTTTATGTGGAAATTTTCCTACTCCCAGATGCCTATGCTGCCATTATGAAGAGAAAGATTCATCACAGCAAGACAACATGCAACCTTTACTGAAAGTAAGCAGTTTCTTATTTATGACAGGGAGAGGCATGGGCTAAATCTCATGAAATAAAGGAAATTTCTTGATTGGGGTGAATGTCAGCTTCACAAAATAAGAAACATTAGAGAAAATAAAGTGATAACAACTTATTAGATTGCCTTATATATAAAGTTAGCTAGATGCTTGTCTTTATAACACACAGGATGCAAATGCACATTTATAGTGCATGGTCTTTGCATATGCAATACAGATAGTCCTCAACTTACAACAGTTTGTTTAGTGACCATTCAATATTACAACAGCACTGAAAAAAGTGACTTATGACAATTTTTCACACTTGCAACCATTGCAGGATCCCCATGGTCACGTGATCAATATTTGGATGCTTGGCAATTGAATCATAGTTATGACGGTTGCAGTGTCCCAGGGTCGTGTGATCACTTTTTGCAAACTTCCAAGCAAAGTCAATGGGGAAGCCAGGTTCACTTAACAACCATGTTGATAATTTAATAATTACAGTGATTCATTTAACAACTGTGGCAAGAAAGGTTGTCAAATGGGGCAAAACTCACTTAACAGCTGTCTTGTTTTGGGCTCAATTATGGTTGTAAGTTGTGGACTATCTGTACTGAATCCTTAAAGACTTATCTATTTGAAGAGCTAGCAGAACAGGCCTGCATAACTCTGGATGGCTATAAGGTGGCAGCCAAGACATACAGAAAACTAGTTCATCTGGATTTTTTACCATATCGAAGTATAAACTACTGTATTCTCATACTGTAATATAATTCTGTCACAAATCAGCTAAAAAAACAGAGAACTGATAGCACAAAAATATGGGAAGATCTGATCAATAAGCACATTTCTGTTATTGAAATGTTATTAATTCACCCAGTCAGTTTAGAGCTCCAAGAAGCATGCAACAGTCAAGGAACGCATTGCATCCACCCTAGTTCCATATTTTTTCAGAAACCAAAATCTGGAAGGACCTAAAAATTCTGCTTCATCCAGGCCATGATTTTGGTGATGAATTCTTGTGGGAAAGAATGTCATGCTTTACATGAAAGAAACTATAGGATATATATTTCATAAAATCTGTGTTTGCATATACAGCCTAACCTATTCTAAAGGTTTGATGGGGTTACAATAAATTTAAATAAGGGATAATGCCAATAATAACTTCAGTTAACTTTCAATCATAAATAGCAGAATACAAACACACACAAACACACACATACACACACCTGTGTATATATGTACGTATGTACATATATATGTATGTATATCTTGGAGTTAGAAAACAAGGAGAAAGGTTTTGTATTCTCTATTAGAATATGAAAGATTATCCTTTACCAGGCAGAACAAAAAACAGTTCATTTGAACTTCAACTATGTGCTCAGAAAGATGGTATATCTATTACCTGTGGATTCCTGCTTTTAACTTCTTAACCTCATTAATCTTGATTAATTTTTCTGCTGAGTAATCTTGTGGGGCCCACTAGGGAGGCTACTTCTTCTGGCACATTAAACATTCCATATTTCACTATTAGAAAAGCATAATCAGTGCAGACATATCTCAGAAGTGACTGTGACAGGTCTTTAAGTGAGCAATTGTAACCTGCAATCACAGGTTCAAGTGAGACAGGAAAAGTCATCTTCTGAGAGCTGATTTTGAGCTTGGACTCAGACTTGGAAAATATATAAAGGGGATACTTCTTGAAATTATCATAAAATATAATATTCCTGTATTATTTGATTCACAGATAGTGAACTTTTGGGTCAAAAAATGGTTAAGAAATCTTAGAACTGCATGTATGTATTCTCCATCTCTCTCCCATTGATATTTAAGCCAAGAAGAAGTCTCCCGTTTGGGAATGTCTCATCCTACTTGCATCTTGAGACACTGAGTGAAGGTCCTCACTCTGTGGTATGCAAAGGAATCAGCAGGTGAGTGCTTTGCAATGAATAAAAAGCTTTATAGGAAGCATTCTGGAATGAAAACATTTGAAAAGCTAATTACTAATGTACAATAAGATCTTCTTAGCTATAAAAAATAACTTTGTTAAAATCAGAGCATTCTTTGCACTTATTGCGAATTCATGAATATTATCTGGAAATTTGTTATACTACTAACTGAAGAAAAATACAGTGATGGACAATGCATCCAACAACTATTTAGTTTAAATGGTTCTTCATAGAAACACCTCTCAGAAGCTTTGACTCTGTATCCATATGATTGCAGAAATGAGAATTTAACCTTCAGTTGAAGTAGGGCTCTAGATTAGGTGTCATGTTTCATTGCAGAAACAGGAAGGAACACTTTGTTTTCATAGTTTGAAGAAAGCAAATATTAGCATGCTTTATCCTTGAAGGCACCATTTGGAGACAAGCCTCCCCTCTCCACATATTTGGTAGATTGTTTGACTGCATAAACAAAGTGATTATTACATATATGAGTAAGGAATGCTAGTTTGTGCATTGCAGGGCCCTGAATCACTTTAATTGTGGTAGATTTATAGATTTGGTTTGTGAGTTCAATTATTAAGTATTGTGAAGAGACAATTATTATATTCTGTCCCTGTAGAATATACAATCAGCTGGTAGCTTTGAAAGTCATCAGCCTAAACTCTGAGGAGGGAATCCCTTTTACAGCCATAAGAGAAGGTAAGAAAAAAAAAGAAATATGAATACGGCATTCAGTCTGTATGATGAATCATGACCTGAATATTGTGACCAATTAGGTTGAACTAAGTATTATTATTATTACAGTATTGAATCATTATTTTGATGCCTTTGAGTCAGTGCTGACTCCTGGTAGCCTGGATGAATTCCTGCAATTTTCATGTCAAGATTTCAGACATGGTTTCCCATTGCCTTTTTCCTTGGGCTATGAGACAAATTATTGGTCCAAGGTCACCCAGCTGGTTTTATGCCTAAAGTGGGATTAGAACTCTTGGTCTCCTAGTTTCTAACCTGCTATCTTAACCACTACACCAAACTGGTTTTCTTTTGTATTAGGCTGAATTTATTAATCTTAGAAGCAATAGAAGGCCATATTGGGATTCAAACAGAATCAGTTGTCTACATTTTTGAATATTTTGCTCTTCCCATCCCAGACTTACAATCAGATGCTAATAGGGCTGTGTTTGTATATGTGAATGAGAAATATTTATATGGTGTTTATTACTCCTAAGATATACTGTAACCAGGTAGAGTAGAAGTTTATGCTACTGCTATATAAACTACATGCAGATGCTTCAGGCTGTATGTCCCTACTTGCACCTAATAAATCTGCCCAGGCAACTTTTTTTTTCTGGCATGTTCCCATGATGTTGCCTTCATCATATTCCAGCCCATTAAGGAAACAGGCTTTTAGTTGTCCTTAGTTGTGTTAAGATCAAAGTATTCCCCCTGCCCTTGTCATACACACCCCAATTAATTTTGACACTATCCAAGGACAGCCCCAAGATGTGCAAAAACTGCTAGGTTTAGTTATCCCTTGCATTGGAAGGAAGTCAGTGAAATGATTGCAGTTAATGAAAATGCTACTTTTGTGGGTTTTTACTGATTAAAGAATTGGTAGAGAGCTCTATAACTCAGCGATAGAGACAGACTTATTTTTGCTGTGTTGAAAAGCAGGCTTCTGAAAGCATGTTTATATGATATATTCAGCCAAGCTTTGTGCTAACCATAAGTAAACTCTTTGATCTAATGCCAGTCATCATTACAAACTGAGGCAAACTCCTGCTTGGGGATAAACAAAACCTTGGCATTTCCCCCTTCCCCCCCCCAAAAAAAAGGTTATACAGACCTGAAAGGAGTGGCAGTGAGGGTTTAACCATCTGTAAGCATCCACACGCAAAGGGGGAACAAGTTCCCATAAGTAAACTTGTGTTCTTCCTTTGCTAAAACACAGCTTTAGACATCCAGCAAACTCTTTTGTCAGTGCAGAAGGGGGAGGGGTTTCTGAAAGTCCACTGATCATAACCTCTGTCTTGGCATAATTGCCTGTTGAGAATTTATTTAACCAAGAGAAGCTTTCAAGAAACTTAAATTTCATTTAACAAACCTCTTCCCTCCCCCCCCCGTATTTAAGCAATTTTAATCTAACAATAATGCATTTCAGCAACAGAATCGCAACACTTTTCCAAGAGTGTGTTTGCTGTAGGAAGAGAGCCATGTTAGATTGTGGTGGTAAAAAATCACCAACGCTTAAACTTTTATAAGATGTAGCTCAATTTATCAGATGGCTAAATTGATATAGGTTTTAAACTGGAGTGAGGTAGCGGTTAACAATTATAATGTGTTAAAACCCCTACCTTGCTCTTTGTTCTACCAATGAGAAAAAATCAGCAAAGTTATGGGGTGGAAATGATAGTTTAAACCAGTGGTTCTTAACCTTTTTGAACGAATCGCCCCCTTGAGCCAATGAGGAAGTTGTCATCGCCCCCCTTCCCCAACATAACCTCTCAATCAAAACATAGGAAATAATTCTTCAATTTATGCAAACACTTTTTTTGTTTTCTTTAAAATTGTCATCAGGACATATCGATGCAAATCTCAACTGTGTGAAAAATTTTGGTGCCACCCGTCACTTTATTCCCAAACTTTGTGATAAATGTATCTTATTTATTCAAGACACTTAAATGTAATGACCACTGAAAACAAAATTCAATTGCAAGAAAGTGAAATGCCCGAAAAGAAAAACAGTAAAATTTAATGATTGAATTACAAGTGAAATTTAAGACGCAAAAAGAAATATAAAAAGGGCATAAGAACAAACCGCAATGCAGGAACTAAGATAAAACGGACATAGGCCAATAACAAGGCTTCATTTTCACAAATCGTTGACTCATCAATTTGCATCACAAATTCTGTATTTTCCAAGGTGTCAATAAGCCTTTCTTCCACATCAGCAGCCATTTCATCAATTCTTTTTGATATGGTGTCATTGCTCAAAGGAATCGATTGCGTGATAGTGCTTGCGCTGGGCCCCAACATGGTGGCAACAATCTGTTTCACTGCTGGTAAAATCAGCGTTTCTCCGATAGTGTGAGGTTTGCCACATTTTGCTATCAACAAAGATACTTCATAGGAACAAATGAGCCCCTTGTTGGCGTTGAGTGACGATTTTCCACATAACTTCCCAACAGTGCTGCGACCCTTAAACTTGGCCTTTAAGGATTGGAAAAACGATGCCGGTTTGTCAGTTTTATCCGAATGAATTCTTACCAAATGGTCTTTCAGTCGGGAAGGCTTCATCACTTCATTTGAAAATATTTTCTCACAAAGAAGACAAAACAGAAGCTGTACGTTGGAAGGAGATGGAATAAATCCCAATTTTAGGTATTCCGTCGAATATTGGCAACACTTCCTCTTCTCGGCCATGTTGAGAGGTTCTTGAAATGAAAGGCACTACCTGCAAATTAAATTTTTGACTCCACTGGAACACTAGAAAAACACACGTGGACGTCGATAAACTAGTTTCAACAGTTACGTTGACATTACAGCTGACGTCACGGGACAGCCACTTAGCATGCGATGTTTCGAAAGAAGCGCTCCCCCCTCCATCACTGCCCATTCTGGCCAATGGCGTGCCACTGTATGGGTAGAGGCTGTTGCGCAACGCGCATGAAGATAAGCGATGCGTATTCACATATGTACGGCATTCTGTACTGAAGCTAGCTGGAGGAACATTTGAAAACACAATTCAATCCACTAATAGCGAGCGATCTGATGTTTTTGTACGACAGATATACAGCGATTCACTGTATGAAAAAGTCTCAAAAGTATCCCCAAAACGTCTTGCTCCATCGCCCCCATATCGCTCCCTTTTGGTTCCTTCGCCCCCTTGTCCCTTTTGGTTCCATCGCCCCCTTAAAAATGAAATCGCCCCCTGGGGGGCAATATCGCTCAGGTTAAGAACCACTGGTTTAAACCATTCTGAAGCATTCATTCTATAATTAGGCTGACCCAATTTGATAATCTCTTGTTCCAAATTCCAGGGATGGAACCATCCCAGGGATAGAACAGTTCAGAGTGACTGTGGGAGGTTGGGCCGGTCTCATGATCCATCAGAACTATGTCTGACAAATCAGATATGCTGAAATTGAGAAATTTGACAAGTCTAAGTTGAAGAAGACAGGAATGCAAGAGAAAAGCCTTCAGAAGAAAAAACTGAGCAGGAGAAGCAAGCAAATGAATTGTAATGAAATGGCCCCTTCTAAATTATGCACTGTACATTTCAGAGGCATTGTCTTCTTATTTTACTTTTTTTAGCTGCTTTAATTTTGTAAGATGCAAAAAGTTAGATAAGCTTTAAATGATTGTACTGTCCCTTTCTCATCCCGCCCCTAAAAAAGAACAGGGCAAACTATTAATGCTGAATGCAAGCACTTTCCTTTCCATCTGCCTGTCCACCTTCTGGTTTGATAGCACAAAAGCTTGCATGTTTCTTCAAAGAAGATTCTAAGAGGGAGTATAGTAGTCTAATAACACATGAATATGTACACAAAACTGTACCAGGGTCCTGTGACTTATAAAATGGATTTCAATTGAGTGCCATTTTTGTTCAAATAATTTTAATTATTGGAATGCACATTTTTTAAAAGATGTAGTGGAAAAATAGGAAATATTCAGGCACCCAAGACTGTGTTGCTGTCATCTAGGTTGTTCAGCTGTTTTCTTTCTCCTTACATCAATCTGATTGTTGTATCTGTGGTCCTAGTTTCCCTCCTCAAGACCCTGAAGCATGCCAATATTGTGCTCCTTCATGACATCTTCCAGACCAAAGAGAGCCTGACTTTAGTCTTGGAGTACATGGTGAGTGGCTTTTCATCAGATTTGTCCATTTGCTTATTGAAGGATGTAAACTTTCTTGTTTTTCAGTGCTTCCCTTCATTTTACAGCAATGTGGAATGGAACCATCACAGTGACTGTTGCTTTCTGCATGCTTTTGACTCTCGTCCTTGAGGTTTGCCTGGTCCCATTTGTATTTTAAGCTCTGCTTTGTGTGACCTGAAGCAAGCAGGAGTTGATCGTTTTTTGCAGTTACAGTCAATGCATTCAAGGTGCTGTTTTCAAAGATTTGTTTCCTAAGTTCAGTTCACTGCCTTTCCCTCTCTCCTCAGCGTTTTACCACTCATCTTTATCTTTTTATGGTGCCACTATCTTGATTTTTTTTGTTTTTGTTTTAACCCCTCTCTGTGGACATCTCTGATTTTTGCTTTTGGGCAATTCAAATATTTCTCAGCCCCTACCCGTGACATGTAGATCCACACGGGTGGACACACACTAGATCTAGTTTTTGTCTCTGGCCAGTGGCAGAGTGATCTGACAGTAGGGGAGATAGTGGTTGAGCCCTTGTCATGGTCAGATCATTCTCTCCTAAGGTTGGACTTCCGGGCCGCTCCCCCTCGCCGCAGGGAGACGGAACCACCTAGATGGTTCCGTCCCAGGCGACTGATGGACCNTTTTTTTTTTCAAATTTCCCTTGTTAATGCTTCTGACTTGGCATTTTTACTGGAGATGGGAGTCTCGTTTTTGAGCTTTCCCATTCTTCCATTATACGGGTAGTCCCCAACTTTACAACCATTCGTTTAATGACTGTTCAAAGTTACAATGGCTCTGAAAAAAGTGACTTATGACCATTTTTCACACTTAGAACCGTTGCCGCATTCCCCCATAGTCACATGATCAAAATTCAGATGTTTGGCAACTGGCTCATACTTACGACGTTTGCAGTGTCCCAAAGTCACGTGATCACTTTTTGCGATCTTCTGCTGTGCAGGTTCTGAGGTTTTGCTCGATAAAAAAAATACAGGAAACCAGAAGTTGCCTTTAAGCTTTATGTTTTTATTCAGCTGAACAAAAACGGGCTCCTCCAAAAGAGAGAAGCCCCGCATGACCAGAAATCCTTGTATATATTCTTTCAGATTACATAAGCAATCCACCCAGCAAAGCTGACACACGTAAGATAAAGATTTCACCTAGTAAGTCTGGCACACTGTAGATAAGAAGGGAGAAAGCAGAAATAGCTAAACATGTTCCCTTTTGGGTGTTTCCCTAAAGACATCGTACGTTCCCGGGTAGGTTAGGACATTGGGTGTTTTCCTTGCTGCCCTTTCGTGACCCTGCATCCAGGACTCTGCAAGTACCCCAAGACAGCAGGGCCATCTGCACATATTCACAATTCATACTTCCTATGCCCATGGTGGCGAACCTATGGCACGTGTGCCACAGGTGGCATGCAGAGCCCTCTCTGTGGGCACGCGTGCCATCGTGCCAGTCCTGGGCCTTCAGCTGGGTTTTATAAACCTTTTCACTTTAGGCCTCCGCTGCCATGTGCAAAAAACAACAACATTCAATCAATTTCAACTTCTCACGGGGAAAAAAATATCTCACAAAGTTGGAATTGATTGGTTGAACTTTTTAGTCCCACCCAGTCTGCCGTTACCACTGCAGCCACACCCACTTAATGGGCCACACCCACCCAATGGGCCACGCCCATCCGGCACCCAATGATACATAAGTGGGTTTTGGGTTGCAGTTTGGGCACTCGGTCTCTAAAAGGTTCGCCATCACTGTCCTATGCTGTCTCCTAATTCCGGGTCAACACTTCTGACGAGCAAAGTCAATGGGGAAGACAGATTCACTTAACAGCCGTGTTACTAACTTAACAACTGCAGTGATTCACTTAACAACGGTGGGAAGAAAGGTTGTAAAATGGGGCAAAACTCAACTTTCTTGTTTAGCAATGGAAATTTTTAGCTCAATTGTGGCCATAAGTCCAGGACTATCGGCATGCCCACACTCACCCCCAAGGATTGCACTGATAGAAATCCAGAGTTATAGGCAACACTCATTGAATGCCTTTCAATTTCCTTTCAAAGTCATTTTTCAAACTTGCCTTTCTATAGTCTTTTTCAAAATTGTGCAAAAAAGACATATAATGCAGTCAAAACATTGAAAGTGGGACAGGATTCTGCATTTTTCTTCTCCCTCCCTCCCTCCCTCCCTCTCTCTCTCTCTCTCTCTCTCTCTCTCTCTCTCTCTCTCTCTCTCTCTCTCTCTCTCTCTCTCTCTCTCTCTCTCTCTCTCTCTCTCAATATCTCTAGCAAGCTATCATCTGTCTCTATATCATCTCTCTGTCTCTCTCTCTCTCTCTCTCTCTAGCAAGTTATCATCTGTCTCTCTATATCTAGCTATCTAGCTATCTAGCTATCATTATCTCTAACAAGCTATCATCTGTCTCTCCATATCTATCATCTCTCTCTCTATCTCTGTCTCTCCATCTATCTATCTATCTATCTATCTGTCTGTCTGTCTGTCTGTCTGTCTGTCTGTCTGTCTGTCTGTCTGTCTGTCTGTCTGTCTCTCTCTCTCTCTCTCTCTCTCTCTCTCTCTCTCTCTTTATCTATCTATCTAGATGGTTCCGTCCCAGGCGACTGATGGACCCTGAGAGGTTCCTGATGGAGCTTGGGCCATATCCGGAGGATCTAGTCCACGACTCGGCGGAAAATCAGGCGGCGGCTTGGGAGACAACTGCCGCCGCAGCATTGGACCGAGTCGTGCCTTTGCGGCCTCTGACCCGACGTGGATCTCGACCATCTCCTTGGTTTAC